TATATATATATATATATATATATATATAGTATGTATTGGCTGTATTGTCCCGGATTCAGCCAAGGCTGTCAGTTGGCCTGGGTGGCGGTAATGCTCAATTAAGTTGGTTGCCAACCGCCATTAAATCAGAAGAAGAAGAAGCTACATACAAACGGAAGAAGAAGAAGAATTTAACGGTTCCCGGTTGTTGAACCGCTCTCGGTTTCCACTCTAGTTTCCCACCGATGGGTAACGATCTGTTTGGGACCTGAGTCCTTCAGTTCGATGTCTGGAGGTCCCATCGGACTCTCTAAACTAGCTCCTCTGACCGTTTCCAAACAACTATGCGCTGACAGCCAAACACTTTCAGGATAATTACCGCAACCTAAGGTAACATTAACCACCCGTTGTCTGTTTGCTGTGTGGTCCGACTGAGTATAGTACAACCCAGTAACATGACCCACATACTTCCCTTTTTAAGCTAAATGTCCGAAAAATTAGATATGTTTCAGTGATGTCCAACGCTAGCTAAGCTTAGCTAATATGAGCCCAGCACAATGGTTAGCTGACCGCTGGTCAAAGGAATAAGAACACATTTACATTTCAGGTTATCATCAATCATCATAATTACTTTAGAAATTATATAAATGTCTCACATCATACCGAAAACTCTAAATTTTCTTTATGTTAAATACCAAATCTGTTGGGTTTTTTTAATAGAAAAGAAAAGAATCAGAAATGCTGTTAATATAGAATTACTCAATAAATTATAGAATAAATTAAATCCTTTCATTTATAGTATTAATTTAATTCATAAGAAGATTTACAATCGTCATCAAATTGTCAGTTTTGCAAACACTGCTTGAATGCATGTTTTTTATTTTGTGAAACAAATCAGTCCTTTTTATCAATCTTCAGTGTCTTAAAGGCTTTAAAGGTCATTCTAAGAATATTTTTAGTGGTAATTAACCTTTATTGATGGTAAAGTGATGGAGGATCGATGAGTATTTTAGAGCGTCTGTAAACTATAGCTCTACATCTCTGTTCATTGGAAATCAGAAGTTTCACATATTTTATATATCTTATTTTTTCATTAACCAGATACGTTCCTGATTTTTATATCTGATGAAAACTTTCAAAAATGTGTATTAATTTTTTGTTTGTTTATTTATTTAGTATTTAAAAGAACTTGAAAAAGTAATATTTGAAAAAATGTAATGATGTAATATTTTTTAAATTCAGCATAGTGTAAAAGTCTTCAACTATTCATTTTATGGAAAGATCTTTTTGATGCAAGGGAAAACTCAGGTTTTTACAAAAATGCCTGCCTATCAGTTCATCTTTAGTCCATCAATAAGATGATTTGATATCAGGTTAAATTAATAAACGATAACTTGCATTTTTCTCACCTATAAACTAGGCGATGTGGTCAAAGTCGAATTAATCTATAGAACTGCATGAATAGGTGGATCATTTCAGGTAGATCAGGTAACTGTTAACAACCTGTCATCTCTAGGCACTTCATAGATCCAGTTCAATCAGATCATCTGCTCTGGTTTGTTCAAAGCTTTCATCTAAGGAGAAGCAGCTGATTGCATCCAGTCTTTGACCTGTAGGATCAGCATCATGAGCAGAAGCTTTAAACCTGTGATGCTTTAGGTCTCATTCTGGGCTCCTTAATGACATCTTTGGTTGATTAGTTGACGCTCTTGGTGAGCTGGTTTGTCCTCAGTAGTTTTACGACTTTTCTGTGTTCCCTTTTTCTGTATTTTTATTTATTTTTTGTGCATGTAGGGCTAATGCTTCTCATTGTTGCCCGCTGCAGTCCCAAATCTGTAATAAATTACAATAAATTTGAACCACTCCATTTTGATGCACATTAATTACTTTTTTTATTTGTTCTTTAGTTACTGAAATCTGTGTCAAAATGATGCTTGAAGTCTTTGCACCTATTGCAGATTCTATTTAAAGGAAAAGTCCAATCAGCAAGGAATAATCAGCTAATACGTTCGCTGCGATTTAATGAATTTGGCGTTTAAAAATGACAACGTTGCCATCACTGAGTCCCGGAGCTGCCATTTTTTCCAAATATAGTAACACCTCACTCCTGACATCTTCCAGCAGTGACGTCATGGTACGGTAAGCCTAATGTCATTCTCCCCTCTTTACAAGTGAAATCAATGGGAACTACTAGACACATCTGCAATTAACAACAAATATTTAAGATTTAAAGAGGACTTCACCATTGAAATTCGCAAGAGCTATAGTTAAAGTGACAATGCCCACGTGAATGGCAGTTGGGTGTTGTTATGTCGGGTTAAAATGAAAAAAAAAAAAAGTTATTTCACCTTTACGATTCCTGATCCTACACGGACGGGTTCATCGTTGGATTGCCAACTTGAAGAGGGAGGATTTGCCATCGAACTTCTGGCGAGAGAAAAAAACACTTCATATGTTGCCAACATTTCAAAGAAGAATGTTTTCAAGATGACTTGGAAAATGGTGCGTTGTGACAAACACCAGATACAGCATTGGGACTTGATCAACAGCCGATACTGTGACGTTACAAACCGGAAGGTGGCAGTAGTGTTCTTTGACAAACATGGATGTGTCCAGTAAAGCACATTCAAGTGAAATTACTCTTAATTAAAAACGCATAATGTATTGAACAGTGTATAATAATTTCATATTTAAAGTACTTTTAGAAGTTTGAATTCTGAATATGATCGGACTTCTAACTACAGGAAGATGTCAGGACTGAGGTGTAACTATATTTGGGCAAAAATGGCCGGTCCCGGACTCAGCGAAAATAATTTTTATTCTTTTACTGATTAAGGCTAAATTCATTAAATCACTGCGATCTTATTAGTTTTAGGTCTAGATATTGATCCATTGATTATTCCTTGATGACCGGACTTTTCCTTTAAGGACCTGCCAGCAACAACGGCATCAAAGATGACACACTACAGGGGTTTAAAGATTGTTTGGGTTTGTCTGTGTTTTTTTTTTTTTTCCATTTTATTAACTTTGGTTTTGATGCAGGTGTATTTCTTTTTATTAACGCCGCTAAGAGTCTGCCAAGGAGCTTATGTTTTCAGTCATGTTTGTTTGTTACCAGGATTACTTGAAAAGTTATGAGTGGGTTTTAATGAAATTTTTCATCAAACTTTGTCTTATGCCAAGAAACAATCCAAGAATTTTTTGTAATGATTAAGATCATGTGACAGTTTTATCCATTGGTATAAATCTGATTGGCAGAGATCTGTGCTCCCTGAGTCTTTCTACTATTTTATTGTTGTTGGTTGTTTTTATTTATTTAGTTCCAGTGTAAAAAAATAAAAATCAAGTTGATTGACCTTTGGGAAGATGTACTTATACAAGTTAGCCTTATAAAAGTTAGAAGTAGCCACAAAAGGACAATATAATCATTCATTGCCATAATTTCGGAGTCATCCTGCACTTTTTCTTATCAAAATCCTATTAATTGATCCCAATATTGGCCGATATCAGTGAGAATCATACGTGCTGTTGTTACTTTTTTTTTTTATACGTGGCGATGATCAGAAAGGACTTGTTTAAGTGAGTTTACTGAAAAAAAGAAAACTATAGTTAACTTCAACAGGTATGAGAACAACTGACCAGCAGGTTACACAACCAGAAGGTTTCTCTCAGCCTGAGAAAATCTCAGATTTTAGATGCTGGCCTTTTTCTTTTTTTTTTTTTTGAATTATGGACTAATTACCGGTATTAATATTGGATCAGGCAGTCGTTAAAGGTACACTATGCAACCGGTGTTGATTTTCCAGCGAGGCTCCCCCCAGAGGGCGAAAGTAAAAGTGCACTGTCGTAAATATGCACAGCTGTTCTCCTGGTTTCTCCGTCAAGCCAGGCGCGGTTGTTTTGAGCTTAGCAGACAGGCGAACGCAACGAATGACTAATGCTGCGTTCACACCGCAGCTGGCGCGACAGAAGCAGCGAGTTTACATGCAACGTAATGTCAAGGCGCAGCAAAAGGTCCCGCGGCGCGTTTTGAGCAGCAGGCGCAGCACGTCTGAGCAGCTGAAGCAGCGCATCGGGCGCGTTTAAGCATCTGACGCAGGGAGAGAGACACAGCGCTGATGATCACTCCTCTTAAACAGTTTATTGACGCCTAAATTAACTTAAAATGCAGAAATCTGCCGGCAGAATATGCAGTTGGGATTATTTAGATGAAAAACACCTACCAGCTGCCGTGGTGAACCGCGAGGAGGCGACCAGGCCAGAGGCGGCTGATGAAGGGATCCCTACTGTCGGCGCACCGCTGGTATGTGGGGGTCTGAGCGGCTCCAACAGAAAAAATATTGAAGGCAGGATAATAATCTGAATGAACTGACGGCACTGATTACGTTTTCAGGTGTATTTTCTCACTTAAACACATATTAAAACTACTTTATTCCCACTGATCACAGCAAATATAGCTGCAAGGCAGAGAAAGGATAGTGAAGCTCCGCCCAAAGCGCGTCAGACACACTTTTGCACCGCGCAGCCAGAGCAGCAAAGCTGCTTCAGCCGCGCGTCAGAACTAACTCGTACAAGCAGCAAAAATGAAGCAGCAGACGCAATTTTGCTGCGTCCGATGTGAACGTAGCATAACTGCACAAAGATCGCCAATAGCTACGTTCACATGGACACAACTAATCGGATTGAAGGCCTGATCAGATCAAAAATGTTTCATGTAAACATGTCAGACTGAAGATTCTAATCCGATTCGGTCCGATCGGATCTAAATTTAATTCCGAATGAGAGAGGTGGTTTTTGCCGATCGCCATTCCGATTGGCGTCCATGTAAACACCCATTCGGATCTAAAGAGTAAAATAATCTTCACTGCGCATGTGTGCGACGTCAGCGTGACGTTTTCCGCCTTGTCAACAACAGGAAACCACCGGTCGCTCTCACTCTCGCTGTGAACAACATGGCGGGGGGAGTCTAGGAACGCCGACTTATACACTCAAGTTCATTTAAAGCTGCAGGAAGCAGGAATTTATCCTCCTCCTCTTCCTCTTTTCTCTCTTTTCGCTTCTCTCCACAGCCCACTCGCTCTCCCACGCCGGTTCAATCGCTCATTCTCTACATTTTCTCTCGGACATTTCGCTGCCAAGCGCTTTTTTCCTCCTCTCTCCTTTTTTCTTTCCGCTCGCTCCGAGCGCATCGTTTGTCAGGCCTCCCAAAAACCAGACGCAGACAGAACTGCCAAGTTTGGCAGGAAGTTCTGCGCATGCTTAAAATATTTAATCTGATCCAACGCTTGGTACATGTATACACACGTCATGATCGGATCATTTCATTTTGTGTCCATGTAAACGGAGATTTTGAATTTCCGATCAACCAAGGTTTGGATCGGATCGGGGAAATTTTGCGCATGTAAACGTAGCTACTGTGCTAGCAACGAGAATGCTTTTAACTGGGGGCGTGTAGCAGTTCTCGCCGTAAAGCAAGACTGACTCTCACGAGACTTCTGAGCCTGTGGGTGCGGGTCGGTGCTCCTGCAATTGCAAGTGCGGTATTTCCCCCACAGACCACCAGGGCGGCCGAGAATACCTTTGTTCAACCTGAAATGACTCATTTAATCATCCAAAGCATTATGGAACACATTAATTAACTGAAAAATGTTGCATAGTGTGCCTTTAATATTGATCTGAAAATCTCCTCTAAGTGGAAAGAGAAACTCCAGTAAACTCAGCTTCTGCTACAAAACAGCTGGTTTAAAAAGTGAAATAAAAACAGAGACCAATGAGGAAAGTAACAAAAATTATGTGGAGCAATTAAAAACATTATTCTGGGATCATGGTGTAGATCATGGTCTTATTTTAAATATAATCTCACACATGATATATAGTTTTTAAATGATCTCCCTGTCTTGCTGGGAAAACAATTTTTCACAAAATGCTTGCAGTGATTTTCTCTTTAACTCGCTTGTGTCGTTACACATGATGGAAGATGTAAAATATTTGATCCGGTCGCCATCAGGCTCATCTTGATGCTCTGAATTCTACTTTAGGCTCTTTTTGTAAATATTTTCATCCCAAATAACAAATAAATCTTTCAAGCATCCAGCTCTTTGCTACCAGATGCTTCTGATCTATACGATGTAAGAATAAAAAATGCAGATAAAGGATCACTGACTGATTTCCTCCTGTCCAGGTCCGGCGTGATGGAAGGCGGCTCTGAGCTGACGGAGGATGTCGTGTTTCGTGGAGTGGAGTTTTCTGTGAAGATAGAGCTGGATAAGAATCTGCTGATGGTGGAAATCTCTGACTCGGTGACTGCAGATCAGTGGAGGGGGGAGTTTGATCCTGCATGTAAGCGTCTTCTTGTCATGCTAGATATCATCTAAAGCACACATTGGATGGGTATTCATATTCTTTTCCCTCCCCTCCCTCAGATATTGAAGATCTCACTCGCAAAACGGGAAACTTCAAGCAGTTTCCTATTTTCTGTAGCATGTTGGAATCGGCTGTGAGGAAGGTACGTTTTGGGCTCACTGGGTTGGTAAATCAGAGGGAAAATCCACCAACTTTGAAGCAAAACCTTTGTTCCTGTCATCTGATTGGCCAATGCCATGAAACTACAGATTAAACAAACCAATCGGAGAACAGATGGATTCAGGGGTGGAAATTCAAAGTTTAGAACTTCAACATTTACCGGTCGCTTCTTTTATATTGCGTAACAGTATTCTGAGTGAGATTTATTTAACGATAATATTCATATAATTTTATTTTCTTTCAAACATGCTATTCATTAAAGGCACATGACACCATTGTAAGGTTTTTAAACATGGTGAACTCTTCTGGAAAAAGGCTTCAGGACACACATATGTTCTTGCTCCGCCCTTATACTGTATACATATATATGCATATGTTATTATTGATTTAACAAATCAACAATAACTATAAAAGCAAGCAGAGCTCTGGTATCCGGATCAGCAGATACCCAAAGTCAAATATGAGATCAGGACAGAAAAAAAATGTGGGTCATTGCATCCTTAGTGCCACAATGTCGGCTCCGTCCAGCAAAACCTCCCATTAAAACCATTCTGCTGCAGTCGCTTTAAAGATGTTGATAAACACAATCTGAGGCGTCTCCTGTGCTTTCAAACGGTCTTTCAGGGTGTTTTTGAACTGTTTATCACTCATTAATTCATATCTATGGACTTCTTAAAAATGTAGGTTTATAAGGTGGTAAAATAATAATAATAATTGAACTTTATTGATCTCACATTAGAGAAATTTACCTCTGCACTTAACCCATCCCCTTTGGGAGCAGTTGGCTCGCTTTGTGTGTAGCGCAAGGGGAGCAGTGTGGGGTTAAGGGACCCGAACTCAGAACCTCTGGATTCCAAGCTCTATGCCCTAACCACTAGGCCGCTACTCCCTTATAGTACTCATAACTCCACATTCTGATGTAGAAGGAGCAGTGTGTGGTTTTCATATTTCCCAAAGGTTTAGATTGGAATGAAGAGATTTGCTGATGAACACGCTCAGTCTCTAGAGTTCAGCGTTTCCAGTCGAGTGAGAAATGTTCAGGCGTCTCTGAGGCCCAGGAAACGTCAGCGTCAGTCGTCTCACATTTTATGACTGTAGTGCAACAAAAATAACAGTGACTGTAATACAAGAAAAACATCCAGACTCTTAATCCTTTATAAACCTTTGGTTGAATGCAGATCTGCACTAAAGGTTTGATTTAAGTATATCTCAATATAATTTAATTCAAAATCAGTGATCTGACCTAAAGAGACACTTTTCTAACATTTTAATAAACATCTCTCTCTGTGAGTTTGTCACTGACTGATCTTTTGGGTTTATGTGTATTTTTAATTTTATTTTTATTTTTCAAAGCAATTATTTCTAAAATGCTTTTTTGACGAGTCCTATACACATGACTTAGACCACCTTTATAATCCTACCTTGGGCAATTCGTTTGAGCATTAAACAAGATAAACAAACAAAAAAATAAATAGACATGTAATAATATAAACAATAAGATGATTAAAAAAGAAGAAAATGTTGACGGGGAGCTTGAGAACCAAAATTAATAATAATAATATAAAAAAAAGAAAACATAGAAATATAGTTACAAGAAAACACATTTATCTTTTTTTTCTTTCTTTTTTTTTTTTTAAACAGACATAGCTAAATCATTGAGTTTCTACAATCATCTGTTGTGGTCCTTCTTGGCTGTTTTTCTTAGGCTTTTATCGTTTTTATATCAATATCGAAATTATATTGACTGACATTAAGAAATATATAGTGATAAACGTTTTGGCCACATCTGCAGAGGTTCCCAAAATGTTGTTGCCGGTTCCCCTTTTATTTACAGGGAACCTTTTCAGCGGTTCAACAAAGAAAATTCAACTGCAGTAAATTACATATTTAAGAAAATGAAATATTATCTTCTTTAAGTAAAAAGAAAAGCACCTTAAAAATGGTAGTTTATTTTAGTGTAACATAATTCATATTTCTATCAATAATTAGGAAAAAAAATTACCATTAGTGTTGGCCTAGTGGTTAGAGCATTGTGCTTGTGCTATGAGAAGGTTGCAAGTACCTGATTCAATCCCCACAACCTCCACTCTGGGTCCCTGAGCAAGACCCTTAACCCTTGACCCTTAACCCCACACTGCTCCCCAAGGGGATGGGTTAAATGCAGAAAATGAATTTTCCCATTGTGGGACAATAAAGGGATTTACATTCCATGTCCCCTCTGTAATTACACTGTGCCCACTCTAGGGGGCCTGCCCCCCACTTTCAAAAGCATTGCTCTGACTTTTAACTTGGATTCCCTTCTAATTACCACAGAAAAACTGATTTATGGAGTGATCTTTTTTCATTTATTGAGATAACTGAAATGGTCCAGAAGTTACGGTCTTGTAGAAAAAAAACATGGGTCTGCAGAAGACGACAGTTTGTGAGGGAATCTGCTTCTGTAAATTAGGCATTTGTTCTTCTCTTGGGTCACATAACCTAGAAGGGTTGTAATATCAGGTGTATTAATTTACACAAATCTTTAAATTGGTCGTGCATGTTTGGATATTTGATTATTAGCCAGGGTGTCTGAAGAAAGAAAGAGAAAAGTAAGAGACTTCTGTAAATATCAAAGCGTGAGTTAAATTCAAAGAACTGTGTAACAGCCCTCCTAAACAGCTTCACTGACTCCATAAAGCAGCAGATCCTCTTCAAGATCCTCTTCCGAATTATAAAGCTCTCAGTAACATTGTAAAGTATATTAGTTTTATTAAAAGTGCTGATAAATCAAATGTATTGTTATACATTAAAGCTACAGTGTGTAATAATTACAGGGATTTACGGTCAGAAATGTAATATATTATACATAACTATGTTATTTATCATCATCTACGAGCTCAGCCTCTTAACCTTAATATTTGCGTTGCCTTAGAATTCGTTATTTATAATTACATAGGAGCGGGTCTCGCAGCCATGGAGGCAGACATCTTTGCGCTACGGCAGCGCAGAGCCAACAAACTAGCGATTGCGAGATCACCCATTACGCTCGAAAGTAACTACGGCAATTTGAGAGAGATGAACTGAGACGGTGCTGAAATCTATACCCTACACAGACTAATGAAATACTATCTGTAAAATTATCTATGTAAACAAACCTCATCACTTGAGAAGGTAGGTGATGCGGACGTCGTGGAAGACATTTTGTCCCGTAACGCTCGCCATACTGTTGGGGGGGGAGAAGCAGTGGGGGGAAGATGTTCATGTTGCTGCGGTCTGCAGTCTGGACGTTAGATGTCGCTAAAAATTACACACTGTAGCTTTAATACAATTAAGACAGGAAAATAATACTATTAAGGAATACATTAGATATCCAAGCTCATAATAATTGCATAACTATGCTTTTAGTCTACATGGATTGTTGCATCCCAAATTGTCCAGTTGTTTATGTCATGCTTTCAAATATTTTGTCAGGATGCAGAGATGCAGGATAAAGTGGAGGAAGCAAACACAGAAGAACTACTAGAAAACATGCTGAACTTGTATTTAAGAGTTAAATAAAAAAAATGCTTGCATCCTCCCAAACTTCTGAAATCAAAATTTCATCCATGGTTCACACCAAAGGCGTTATGAGCGGCAAAAATGCGCAAAAGCAGAAATTTGGGTGCTGGATCAAACTGTGGTCCAGTTGCTTTGCTGCTTCGATGCTCTGGTTGTTTATCTGCTCTGTTCTGTACTTTCAACATAGAGAGCAGCTTTGCTTTATTTACTTTATGATGGGGAAAAATAGTTTTAGCGCATTTTTAAGCGAGAAAGTCCCCCTCCAAACATCCTCTGATCATCAGTTCATCAGGATTATGATGTCACTAAAATATGTAGTTGTTGTTGGGAGCGCCAGACCTCCAAAATACCACTGGGAGGCAGCCCTGGAAATCCCAGCTGAAAGCTCTCTGCTGCGACCAGCATGTGGGGGATTTGCCGCTACCATTTGTAGAGACTGGAAGTGAATAGAAAGAGTTTTTAAGGTTTGAGGTAAAAACTGCAAGAACCAGAATATAAAATCATTTCTAGTTAATTTGGGTATTTATGAACTATTTATCCAAAGTTCATAACAATGTTTTAGTGCAGCAATAATGATCAGAGCTCGCTCTATGTTCTTTCTACGTACATAACAATCCATTCTTCCAGCTTTTTTTAACCTTTAGAGTTTAACTCCCTGATAATTATTTTTCATATGCAGAATGTCTGCAGAAGCAATGACAGCTTGCAGGTAGTGTGTCTCCCCCAAAAATCTCTTCTTTTCTGATTGGTTGATACCCCAGCATCCTCTCGATGTAGTCCCACGTAGACTTTGCATGTAAACCAGACGCCCAGTACGACCTTGGTGTGAATGCAGCATAAGCGTAATATCGCCATCTAAAGGCCTGAAGGAGAAAGTCAATGTTTCTCTTGTTGAATGTAAAGTGACCAAAATTGTGTTCCAACAATTCAACCAGACCTTTAATTCAATGAGGAGTTCATCAGAAGAGAGCCTGCTTCCATCCTTCATCTTAACTTCTATTTTCAGACCAGTGATTCGGTCACCCTCGACCTCCTGACCTACGCCGACCTGGAGCTGCTCCGAAACAGGAAAGCAGGTGTGGTAAGCCGTCCTCGTGGCCATCAGCAGCAGTCGGCGCTAACCGCCAAAAGATACCTGATCCTGATTTACACCGTGGAGTTTGACAGGTTTGGGTCTCTTCAGCAGAGCCGTCTTCTGGCCTCATTTGAAATGTTGCATCATGGTTCTGTTGCATCACTAGGATCCACTACCCTCTTCCACTGCCCTACGTGGGGAAGCCGGACCCAGCCGCCCTGCAGAAGGAGATCCGAGCCCTCAGAGCAGAGATCAGCACTTTCACCTCCCATGGAGGCAGCAAATCTACAGACCTAGAGATGCAGCGACTGCGACAGGAGTAGGTCACCCTCCTCTTCTTCATCCAGAGGTAAACCTTACCTGTTCGTTTTTTTTAACCCCAGTGGTTTCCCTTAAGGCTAGCTGCAGTGAAAAAAGAGAAGGAGGCCATGGCCAAGGCTCTGGATCGACTACAGACGGGGGGGAGTGGCTCTGCAGCGGACCGAGAGGACTGGAGGATCAGAGACGTGGTCCGAACATTGGAGGAGCAGCTGGTCAAGGAGAGGGCCAGGAGTCAGCGCTCTACGAGCAAAAGGTGCCAAGAACAGCGACTCCTGATGGAGCAGGTGAAGGTTCAGAGGAGACCATCTTCCACCTTCGCTTTGATTTCTGCTGCCCTTAATCTTCCTTCCTTCGTCTCCAGCTGGAGGAGCTGAGAGCGTCAGAGTGTGCTCTCCGTGTTCGGGTCCAAAGCCTCAACAATGAGCTGGCGTTGCTACGGAGAGGGTTAGACAATCTAAGCGTGTACTAGATCTTTACTTCCTCTCTTTCATTCTCCTCCATGGATGAAACATGTGAAGATTCAGTGACTGAGCTCTTCTGTCCTTGGTGCCTCTGCAGCAGAGTGACCCCTGTGTCGGGTCGCCTCGGCTCCCGGACAGACGGGGAGGTCTACCGATCTGTTTCGCGTGAGAGGAGGCCCGGCTACGTAGCCGCCAGAGCTCGGTCCGGTTCCAGGGAACGGCAGGAGGACCGAGGACTGAGGTCAGGGGAGAGGGGGAGGAGAGCCGACTCTTCAGGGCCGCGTCCTCACATACGGAGGCCATCCCCTTCGCCCACAGGTAGGACTGGAAGAAGGAAAAGCAGAGAAATAACTGAAAAGCAGAGATCTTATAAAGGTGGCTTGTTGTTCTGACATCTAGCATCTTGCAGGCTCTCGGGTTCCTCGCTTTGACCCCACTGCCTACATCCAGGACAGGCAGCGCAGGCAGAAGGAGGCTGAGCTCAAGAAGTAACAGTTTTCCTTTAATCAAAGCGCCGCATTCCGTACAGACCGTACATTAATCAACACCTTTTTGTTTTGTCAGACAGCGGAAGGTGCGAAGGGACGTTCTTTCATCTCCGGTCCTCCCAGAGCGGGGCCGCTCCCGATCCAGAGAGGCCTATCCTCAGATGGTCCATGCCGGCAGCAGAGGCAGGAGTCTGTCCATGGAGCGCCGAGGCAGCAGGAACTCCTCTGGGAGCTCATTAGCAGACATGGATGACATGACCAGAACTCTTTTCAGGTGCTGGCATCACACCAGAAAGAACTTTCCATGGAAGCTCCGACTTTATTTTAATCCTTTATTGTTTTTACAGAGGAAGACAGCAGACGTACAATGGACCTAATATGGTGAGTCGTGACCCTTATCAAAAAAAAACAAAAACAACCTGAATTAAATGTTTTCATCTTTAAAGATACAAAAACCTGATATGTCGTAACTTATGGTGACCGACCACTGATCTCATTTTATTCAGTGGATTGCTGATAGGCTGTTGATATTACACGGTGCTGGAAAGTCACCAGCTGCCATATTGGTACTCCCTATTGTATGGAAGCCCGTTTCCGCCACTCTGTAAAAAAAAAAAAAAAAAACTATCTCAATATAATGAGATAGTATCTCATTATAATGAGATAGTAACTCAATATAATGAGATAGTATCTCATTATATTGAGTTAGTATCTCATTATATTGAGATAGTATCTCATTATAATGAGATAGTATATTTAATATAATGAGATAGTATCTCATTATAATGAGATACTATCTCATTATATTGAGTTACTATCTCATTATAATGAGATACTATCTCATTATAATGAGATAGTATCTCATTATAATGAGATA